TGTGTGTGTAGGGCGGGGGGGGGGATGGAAATTAGTCCTGATGGTCTATCTCTTGTGTCTTATTTCATATTGTCCAGCTTCTCTAATGGAAGTTTTTAGCAGCAGCTATACAAATGTGTACAAATCCTTTCTGCATTCCTTAGAAAAAGAAGTCAGTCCTTTAGCCATATCTTCTAAATTGTGGGGTATAGACAATCAAATTTTCTTGATAGATATATTTTGCAGGTTCTATGGAATATAGACCCCCCCCCCCATTGTGAAATTCCTGTGGATGAAAATCTTAATCATCTGGCAAATCTCTTTCATAAATATGTTTTTCAGGGACCAAAACAAAGAGATTCCTCAGAAAATTTCCCTGGGAAAATATTCACCTGGCAGTATCTCTTGAATGATTGGTGGGTTTGTAAAAAACAACTCTCATACAGATGTTTGAAGAGGCCTTAGAATATAACTCTGGCTCCCTGCCTCCCCTTCTCCCCACTCCCACCCCACTAACAGCTTCATTGATCTGGCCTGATCTCCTGAATCTGGTCAGAATGACAGATCTCTATGGTAGACATATTTCAAAGGTTCTAAACACTTTTTTCCTCCCCTGAACTGCAAGATTCCCAAGAAAAGAAAAGTTAGTCTTCTGACCTACTCCTCTGACACACTGTGGCTGTGGTACTGCCTACAGGTGCCCAGCATTTTTTAGCAGGATTTGGGCATTCAGTTCCCTTGTGCTCCTAGGAATAACACAGCCTGGAAAATAAACACTCTTGGTAACAGCCACCATTTCTGGATACTGGCACTGAGTCTGGTGCTGGTCTCCAGGGCAGAGCATATATGCTCCTGCCAGACTAAGCTCTGTGGTCTCTTAGCAACCTAGAAAATAAACCCCATAAGTCTCGGCTCATTGCTCTGTTTTCCTGCAATGCTGCACACGGCAATATGATTCCTGCCCTCGGATCTGCTTACTCAGCTCCTTCCCAACCACCACTGGAGCACTCGCCCCAAACTGAAGAACAGAGCGTTGAAATGGTTTACCTGCCATGATGTGGGGAGCCAGACCTGCAGCTCAGAAGTCCTGACCAAGAAGCACTTACCTTGGCTGAAGATCATAAGCCTGCCCACTCACAAATAGCATAAAGAACTGATGATGGGTATTTCTGGTGGAAACTATGTTCACACAGGTCTTTCCAGTGGAAGTTGCCCTGGAGTTACCATAATGACTAATTTGCAACAGTAAAATTTGTCACCTCCCCCCCCAAGGCAGTAGTAGGGAATAAACAGAGATCTCTGACATTTGCACTGCACTCCCAGGGGGGAGGTGAAATCACCAAGTGCCTGGGAATACCATTTGGTTCTTTCTCACAGGCCTCAGTGCTCCCATCTAATAACGTTGTGAAAGATGGTGGGGTACCTAGGAGTCTCAGATCAGTGGTATTCACAATATTGGCTCCACAGGCCACATGAATGGTTCAGGGTCAGTCTGCAGGCTAAATCTGTCCCAACACCACCCCCACATGCCAGGATTGAGCCCTGGGGCCTCTAGTCACCATAGGTCTCATTAAGGCATTGATAAATATATATATGCTGCTCACACAAAGGCTTCGCTAGAGCATATGCCAGAGTAGGCAAACCTGACTGATGCATGAGCTCCTTACATAAACTCTCAATGTGCACTCCTGCCAGAAGATGGGAGGGAGAGATGGCTGTACAGGATGTAGGATAGTCCAGTACCAAGATAATAATCTTGGAATGGGAATACCAAGATCAGGCTGTGAAACAAGCCCATGGTACATGATGGTTTAGGATATTCAAAATACAGGTGGAATATCATACATAATTTGTTTTGACCCCTTTATAAAAGAAGAATTAGAAATGATGGAAACTTTGTATTATCCTAGGGGAGCCTACGTAGTGTTGTACCAATACCCTGTCCTGGGCATACATGCATTATCACCTTGTCTGTCAGATCACAAGTGTGTTGCAGCCATGCCTTGTACTCAGTAAACCTGGCAGAGCCTTTGCCACTGAACTGAGCCTGTGGTCATTCTTTAAGACAAGACTGGTGTTGGGATCTCCTGGCTGTGACTTTTTGCTGTCACTGTAGTTCAACACTGACAACACAGTAAAACCCAAAGAGGATAGCAATGACAACAGCCACTATGATGTGGCTGGAGCCTGATCCTGGCATGTGGGATGACACATGCGGGATGACAGGCGGAGGTGACACAGAGCCCCAGAGGCTACCCCAGCCAGGTGGAGGCATTGTCCACTTATGATCAGGCTCTAGGGACTTTCTGCCACCCTCATCCAACAGGGATTGGGCTCCTGTGGCTCTGCATTGCTCCCATCCAGTCCCTGTAAATTGGGATTGGGCCTTGCACTGCCCTGTGTGCCCTATCTAACTTGCAGGGCCACAGCCAGTGGGACTCCCCACAGCATCTTCAGGGAGCCTCGCTGTATGGATTACATGGTACCAGGTGCCAGATCTGGTCTGGGGCTGGGGGTTGAGCACCCCTGTTTTATACACATTCACACATGCAGGCACCCTGAACACTGTTGTCTTGTGCCCTGGGGCTTCTCTCTGCACACCTTACATATGGAGGACAATTCTGTGTATAATGAGCAGGAAAGTGCCTTGTCTTCAGCTGCAAGGCACGTCTCTGTATATTCCCCTCATACTTTCCTGTGAAATTGGGGTCTCAGGCATGCGGAATATCCTCTTCCCCTAGACCCAGTCCAGTGGTGCAGAGTGTAGCTGTATTCAGTTTGGGATGATCTTGCATGCATGTGTGTGGAGGGCATCAATACAGCCTGGTGTTCCCTGGACCCAGCACCCACAAAGCTTTAGGTTTTTGGCATCTGAGATGATCACCCTTCTCAGTGCTTTCCCCTCCATGAGAGACCATTTATGCTAGAACTGACCCAGCAGCACTTGCCCTCTCTGCATCCCTCAGCGGGGGAAGCATTCATTTGGAGAGTGGTTTCAAAGACTCACTGCCTTGGCCAGCACCTGCCCATTGGGAATGCTGGGGTTTCCCTTGGGTTTCTGGCTGTTTCCCTGGAGGCTGACACATTTCTGGCTGCCCCAAGACAAGCCTTCTCCACACAGCTGCCTAACTCTGCAGTCCCTGTCATCCAATACCCACCCACAGTGGCCACTGTCAGCTGCACCCTACCACCAGACCCAGGTCTTTTTTCCTACCTGCTCAGTGGGGATAGGGAGAAGGAGACCCAGGGATGTGTGTGAAGGCAGCCCAGAGGAGACTGAGGCAATGTGGTTGTGGAAGAGAGTGCCAAAATGTGGAGGGCAGCCTGGTGATGGACCAGCGCTGACAGAGGAAAACCCCATTCAGCTTCTCTCTGGACCCTGTTCCTTGTCTCCCCTCAGAGTCAAGGCAAGGGATTCAGGGTAAAAAGGGTGTACCCCAGGGCCCCTCAGCACCAAGCTCCCACTGCCAGGGACCTATTCTGCATGCAGAGCAGCAACCAAGACTATGTGGGTCTGGGCCTGGACGTGACTGCTATGCATGCAGCTGCTGGAGGTGGGGATGAGGGTATCTGGCCCCACCCTACACCTCAAGACAGCATACGAGACCCCGTTAATGATCCTTCTGCAGGTTCATCTATGGAAGCCTTGTTACGACTTGCCTTCCTTTAGATAATCACATTCTACCATCTTCTCAGCACTCCAGCCACCATGACCAGACTCAGAGTGCAAAACTGAAGGCTTTTGAAGTGGTGCAGCATCACCTGAACAAAAGGCTTGTAAGACAAAGACTTCCCTCCCCATTGTCCTCTGCAGACTGTCCTGGGACTCTATAAAGCTGGTTTGTGCTTTTCCCAAAAGAAGAGCAAGTCTCTGCACCTCCCCCTCATCCCTGCTTAATCTGCTGAGAGCTGTTGAGAATTAAGAGCTTTGTGTGCATTTAATCAGCTTGCTCTCCCACAGCCACTGGCAGAGAAAAAAATGCTCCCTGCTGCATATCCCTTCACAATCCCAGGCTGCTCTGCCTTGCCAATCATTCATCAGAGCTCTCCAAACAGCACAGGAAACAAACAGCTGGCAGGAGACCAGACTTCTCAGTCCTTCAGGGAACTGGAAGGAGCAGCATTGGCTGGTTCTGTTTGGTGGCAACCTGTTTCACTTCAGTTGTACCCTCAAGGGCTTTGCTTTGGAAGTCAAGTGGTTTGGAGACAGCCGTTCCCCTAGGGAAGGTCATTGGACCCTTTGCAGGAGAACTGAGTTCCACCTCTGAATAGGCCTTGCCACAAAGCCATGTAGGTATTGCAGTGGGGGAAGGGACTCCTACCAGTGGGTTGAAGTTTCTTGTCTCTCTCTGCCATGGAGCACAAAGGGCTCTGGAAGACACTGGAGTACACCTGCAGACTGCTGGGGATCTCCACAGCAGCAGGTAAGAGTGAGGGCCTGCTTTTGTGGCAAGAAATAGGTAGTGGATAGGTCCTCAGACTCTTGGGTTTTATTCCTGCTTCTGATTGTGTTTTTCTGTGCTTCCATATCCCGTCTGCCAAATAGGGAATATGCAACTTAGTCCTGTCGGTGCCTGGACAGGCTCTGAGTTATAATTCTGTGACAGTTCCAGGTAGTAGATTGGGGCCACCTCAAATTGTGAGATGGGGCTCGGCAGAACTTAGAAACTGGGCTCCTCTTCTCAGAGATGGCAGGTTCACAGGAGCGGGGTTTAGTTTCCACCGTTAGTAGATCTGAATCAGCAGTGATGGGGAGAAGGGTAAAGAAGCCTTTATGGATGGAGAGAGCATATGTTGGGCTAAAGGGTTTGTGAAAGTGGGAAGTGTTTCCAAGCCCTGTGTAAAGATAGAAAGTGCTATTGAAAAGGTGTTGTATACTGAGTAGGACTGAGAGCTGCAGCTACTCCAGAGTTGCAACTCTGCCTCCTTCATAAGCAACTAAGCAGAGGACTCAGGGAGCGTTTAACTCTGTAGCCTCAGTACAAACATCAAACACCAATCTGCTTACCTGGCTTTTCTCTCTGAGTGCCAGAGACCAAATGGGAATAAAATCTCTGTCCCATCTGGGGAATGCTGCCTTTGGCTCTTAGTGAAATGTCAGCAGCGAGTAGAAAATGGGCCACTAGAGCCAGCAGTCCCAACCTGAAATCTCCCTCAGAAAACCCTACTGGTCTAAAAGTAGGTCAGTGGTGGCCAGTCTTTTTGCCAGGTGTGCCACAAATTAGCTTCATACATTTCCCAAGTGCCACCTTGATACCCTTCTCCTGCCCGATTTGGTGCTCTACTCCCTGCCCTGTGCTCTGTGCCTGATTTGCTTTCTGCTTCCTGCCCTATCTGTCAATTCGCTGCCTATTCCCTCCCCAGTCTGCTGTGTGCCACATACAGAGGCCGTCCATGCCACTTGTGGTCTGTGTGCTGCAGGTTAGTCACCCCTGGACTAGGTCATTGCATGCCCTTGTCATTTGTATAGGAGTAACTATGCCTGGAGTGCTCTGTAAAGATCATTATTTGGAAGCCCAGGATCTCCTCTACACACAGATCACTGGCAAATAACAAAAAGAGCTCTGTAGCATAGAGTAGGTAGATACTGGAGAGGACAATGCTCAGCAGCAGGAGAAAAATGCAGAAGTCTCCAACCACAGGCAACTGGTAGGGGTAGGGGGATGAGGGCACAGGGGTATGTGTCCCATCCCCCCCCGTCCCCCCCTGATTGGCCCCCAACTTGGCACTGCTCAGGACAGGGCAGTTTTATTGCCATGCAGGCCAGCGGCATATTGGAGGTGGGTGGCGAGGCACTAAGCCACAGCTCAGAAGTATAGGAGTGGATATGGGGCTTTTGGCCTGCCCCCACGCCCTCCCACAAACTGTGCCCCTCCCAGACTCAGGAGGCACTGCTCACCTCTGCTCCAACCAACTTAGTTATGAAAGAAAATTAAAACAGCAGGGATGGGTTTATGAAGGTGATACAGAAAGAGGAGTTCTGGCTGTCCAGTTGAAGGCTGTGATGTATGGAGATGTGCCTGCTGTCCGCAGGTTGCAGAGCAGGATGGGGGATTTGGTTCTCCCCATGCTTCTGGGTTGTGCTGGTTGCCACATGAGAGTGGAAGGAATTTTTTCCCTTCCTGTTGCTGGATGGGTCAGGGTTTTTTCACTTACCTTAGAAACACTGGGTGTTGGCTGCAGCCAAGGCTGGGGATTTTGATTGGGGTGTGCCTATGGTCCTGCTGGGATTAAAACCCGGAGGTTCCTGGTGAGAGGGTCTTGCCCCTATGCTCAGGATCAGATTAGATTCAGGAAGGAATTTTACCCCATAGTCAGAGTGGTGTGGACTGTGGCGGGTTTTGTCTTCCTGAAAGGCCCTCTTCCTTGGATCCCAAGTGCAGTTTAACAACTCTTGCAGCAATGGGTCACTGACATGTCTCATCCCCCTGCTTTATCTGTGACAGGTTAGGGTGCTTTAGGGTGCTTTTGGTGCCTTTGGGCACTGTGCCTTGTAGTTGTGCAATAGGGTTGATCATTTCATTTTAAGAATATGTTAGCCAAGAACTTGTATGAGGCAGTTTGGATAAGAATGATGCTGTCTTGAGCAGGGGATAGACTAGATGGCCTCCAGAAGTCCCTTCCAGCCCTACTTTTTCATTATTGTATGATTCTCTGAAGCTGGCTATGAGATACTCCTTGTCCAAGCCAAGAGGAAAACATATAGCAAGCACCTCAAGAAAGCAGAGCCCAGCCACAGGGCTGATTGTTGTGAAAAGCCAAGCCCAGGTTGAGGCTGGATACAAAGCCCTGAAATATTCTCACAGCAGTGAACAAAGGTGCCAGTGAAAAAAACTACAGGGAAAAGAGTCTACATGCTCTTTGAGACCTTGGGACAGATAGACATTCAGTGAGGCTCCTTATGAAACAAATGGAGAGAAGCTGTCAAAGTCTACGCAAACCTCTCTCTCACTCAGCCCCATCCATGCAGTGATAGTCGAACTGGCTGCATCTACACGAACTGACTAGACCAATTCTACCGAGCAGTGGCATCACATGGCAGAAACCATGATGGGATGCTACTGTGTAGTAGTCTCAGGCTACTGTGCCATCAGCATCACAAAAAAGCTGTTCATCAGCACTACTGTATAGTAACTCCGGTTACAGCACAGTCATTTAGTACTTGCTTATATATCAATCTCATAAATAAATTAAGAGGCGGTGACATAGATGTTTACACAGTCGGGTGGGTGGCAAATTGGCTTAGCGGTTGCACCCAGAAGGTGGTAGTAGATGGGTCAGTATTGACCTGGAAGGATGTGAGCAGTGGGGTCCCGCAGGGTTGGGTCCTTGGACCCGTACTCTTCAATGTCTTCGTCAGTGACCTGGATGCGGGAGTGAAGTGTACTCTGTCCAAGTTTGAGCAGGATACCAAATTGTGGGGTGAAGTGCACTCTGGAGGGTAGGGAACGACTGCAGGCTTCAAAAGGAGGCGATAATCACCAGGGATTCGGGTTTTCCGTTTCCCACGGAAAAAAAGAGAAAACCACGGATTCCCTGTTTTAGCGGAGAACATGCGGATTTCTCTTTTCAGCAGAGAAATCCGCGGATTCTCCGCTTTTGCAAACAGCTCTTGCAGGTTGGCACAGCTCCAGCCTACAAGAGCCAATTGCAAAAAGGGCGGGAAACCCCCAGCCCTGGCCGGAGGGGGAGGGAGGCAGCTCCGGCTGAGGCTTGCCCGTCGCCCCCGGAGCATGGAGGTAAGTGGGGCTGTGGGGCAGGGCTGGGGAAGATGGCTGGGGGCTGCGGGAGCGGGGGGTGCTGCCGCCCCCCAGGCGGCCCACAACAGCTGGGAGCAGGACCAGGGGGTGAGGGCAGGGGTGCCCTTCTTCAGGGGGGTT